TCTCTTTAGAGGGCCATCTCTTAAAAGCCTTCCGTAAATAAGGAAGCGCTGTATTGACAACTCTCTCTGTTAGCGCTCCGCGCCGCCCTATCTTTATTGAGAGTAGACCGGACGACCGAACTCTAGGTCAAACGGCGGCCGCCTCAACCAATCAGCATTGTCGAACAGCGCCCCTTGCGGCGGCCACGCTGGTACTGCAGGCCGCGAGCGTCTGTTCCCTCACCTTTTGACAGCTCTCAATTCATTGTTTCCGAGTTTAATGGACTGTGACTGATCTAATCAAAATGTTGCAAGTTGTTTCCGAAAGGGGAAAGTACTTTGAACTTCAGTGACTGTATCCTTTACAAATTCACCAAAAATCAGCCGTACCATGGATTTTCACCGGACCACTTTTATTACACTGCATATTACAAGGACTATCAAAGGGGGGTGAACTGGGATTGATCGGCCATAATCCTTGAACCGCGCAGTCACGTACACAACAGCCCTTCGCCGGATGGCGGGGCAACCTTGATAACCATCGGGAAGGGCTCAGACGAAATGCTATCAGAAACACAATAAACTGCATACGGTAGTGTATTCCATACAGGCTCCGACAAAGGACCTCGACCGGATTCCCCTCAGGGGGCAGGAAAACTTCGCTCTTTCTTTTGTTTCTGGAAATGACTCATGTGGGAGGGGGGAGAGGAGGTCCCTGCCAGGTGTCAGGATACTCGGATTACCTGGGTAGCTCCTCCTCGACTCCTCCTGTTCTTTAATAAAATCATGATGTATATATGATGTAATTCTGGGGGTGTAGTCAAGGGGATTAGTGGTTAATAAAAGTTGGGGTCTCCCATTGTTTGGGGCTTCCATCTTGCTTCACCTTGTGGACGGTGGGAGCCCTGTCGCGACAGTCTTTACCTAAATAAAGACCAAGCCCACTGGCTGCTGTTTTGCTCTGATTTGCCCTGGTCGGTGTCTTCCTTTGTCCAAGAGAGCCCTCGGATTTTCTGGTAACACTCCCCCACAACAAACACTCTGTGAGGTGAGTGGGGCTGAGAGACTTCAGAGAAGTGTGACTGGCCCAAGGTCACCCAGCAGCTGCATGTGGAGGAGCGGAGACGCGAACCCGGTTCCCCAGATTAGGAGTCTACTGCTCTTAACCACTACACCACACTGGGAGCCCCAGCTGGATTTGGGGATCCTGGGACGGAGGAGGGGTGGGCACAAGACTTGAGGGCTTGCAGTATATCCGTAAGAAGCATCTAATGAAAGCTCAAATAACATGGCAGTCTCCCCCCTCCCTCCCCTGTTGCCCACCCCCCTCAATTTCACTGCTGAAAAGGATAAAGCCCAGAGTGGTTTTTTGTGTTCTGGAAGGCCTGTGGTTCCTGCTCCTCGCAGTGCTTGATTGGGCTCCAGATCCTTCAGGCTCCTGTGGGTGGATCTTGGGACTCAAAAACAGATCCCAAGCCAGCGCTGCCATTGGGCTGGGTCAGGGAGAGTTATTTGCAGAGAGATGGAAATCTCAGGCTTAGTCTCATCCTCTGGAAAGCCCCAGAAATGAGCAGGCAGGGAAAGGGGAAGGAAGGGCTCCGACTGCTACAGCTGTGAGCTGTTTCGGGGGCGGCAGAAGAGGAGGCCAACATTCCTCTGCGCTGCCCCACCCTCCTCCCCGGAGCCTCTGCTGGACCGAAAGAGAGACTGAGGCACAGCAGAGGATGAAGGAAGCGCAACAGCACATTTCAAATTCAGAATGCTGGCTGATCTCCAGGGGCTTCAGTTTCCCAGCAAGCAGCCTCCAGTCCCATCTGACGGTTTGCAGAGGGGAAGCAAAGCACTGGGACATCCACCCCCCCCCCCGGAGATGGCTGAAGGGACTGTCCTCTTCTCAGCTTGGCTCCTCTGTGAGGGGGCGACGTTCGCTGTAGACATGGGGAAATCTGCTGGGAAGTTGCACAAACCCGGCAAATGCACAGCTGCTCCCCATTTTAAAATAGCCCCTCATGAATGAGTGTCTGGAGGCGGTTGGAGGATGGATGGTGGCTAACAGATTGAGGCTGAATCCTGACAAGACAGAAGTACTGTTCTTGGGGGGACAGGGGGCGGGCAGGTGTGGGGGACTCCCTGGTCCTGAATGGGGTAACCGTGTCCCCTGAAGGACCAGGTGCGCAGCCTGGGAGTCATTCTGGACTCACAGCTGTCCATGGAGGCACAGGTCAATTCTGTGTCCAGGGCAGCTGTTTACCAGCTCCATCTGGTAAGCAGGATGAGACCCTCCCTGCCCGCAGACTGTCTAGCGAGAGTGGTGCATGCTCTGGTTATCTCCCACATGGACTACTGCCATGCGCTCTATGTGAGGCTACCTTTGAAGGTGACCCAGAAAACTACAACTAATCCAGAATGCAGCAGCTAGACTGGTGACTGGGAGTGGCCGCCAAGACCACATAACACTAGACTTGAGAGACCTGCATTGGCTCCCAGTATGTTTCCGAGCACAATTCAAAGTGTTGGTGCTGACCTTGAAAGCCCTAAACAGCCTCAAAGGCCCACTATACCAGAAGGAGCGGCTCCACCCCCATCCTCCAGTCTGGACGCTGAGGTCCAGCGCTGAGGGCCTTCTGGCGGTTCCTTCCCTGCAAGAAGCCAAGTTACAGGGAACCAGGCAGAGGGCCTTCTCGGTGGTGGCGCCCGCCCTGTGGAACGCCCTCTTGTCGGATGTCAAGGAAATAAACAACTATCTGACTTAGAAGACATCTGAAGGCAGTCCTGTTTAGGGAAGCTTTTAATGCCTGAAGTTTTATTCTGTTTTTAGTCCTCTGTTGGGAGCTGCCCAGAGTGGCTGGGGAAACCTAGCCAGATGGGCGGGGTATAAATAATAAATAAGGAATTATGGTGATGGTGATGAACATGGGTCTGCCCCAAAGGGAAGTGCCTTACCCACCGGGCGACCCTCCTCTTGCCAACTGCCCTAGTCAACCCAGGAAGGAGCGGGCAAGGACTGCCTCGAACCACCTGGGTCATTCCCCCGAAGGCAGAGGTGGGAGCTGCTCCACTGAATGATCTTGCTGGGTGGCAAGGCAGCCTGGCTCTCCTGTGAAACAGGTGCAGCTGCAGCCCTGGTGCCTTAGGAAGGAGGGAGGGGAGGAGGGTGGGTGGGTCTTACCCTGCTGCCTCGCTGGGAAAGTCCTTTGCTGAAAGGACAGCTGACGCCACTCTCAATGGGGACATTCTTGCGCTTCCCGCGGGGCCTCTGCCAGGGCCAGCCTTGGTCACAAAGGGACATTCACTCTCCTTTCCTTCCTCGCCATTCATGGTCAGAGGAGACCAACCTCGGGCAAAGGCCCACCCTCTCCGGCCCCCTCCCCGGTGGCTTAGGCAGCCGCCGCTTCCAGCTTCCTGTGGACAAAGCTGCCCAAGGCCTTGGCCTGTCCCTGGGGAGAGGTGGGTGGAGGGGTCAGGGTGCTGCTGCCCTCTTGGCCTGCTCAGGAACAGGGAGAGCAAGCTGTGCGGGAGGGAGGAGGCTGTGGGGACCACCATGGCGGGAGCAGGGGGGCAGCCCAGGGAGGCTGACATGGAGGGAGAAAACAGCTGGGGGGGGCCTACTAATCATCAATAGGAACTTGTCTAATCCTCTTTGAAAGCCATCCAAGTTCGTGGTTATCAGGCGCAAGTTCCATATTTTGACTATGCTAGGGTTGCCAGACTTCTGGAATTTCCTGGAAGCAGCCAGGAAATGCTTGTCGGAAATCGCTTCAATGTCCAGAAAAATCTGGACGTCGGAACTGCGGATTTTGACGAATTTCTTTAAAAATACCCTCAAAAACTTCACCTTTTTCTGGGATTTTGCAAAGAGAAGTTCAGCAACTTTGGGCAAAGCAACAACTTTTTGTGTTTGGGTTTCAACTTTTTGAAATATGGCGAACCTGGAGTCTGCGTGGTGTGAAGCACCAGCTTCCTTTTCTCCGCCCTGAATCTTCCAACGCTCAGCGTCACTGATGCCCCCAAGTTCTAGCCATGAGCAAGATAGAAGACCTTTCCCCACCCGCCCTTCCCAGGCCAGGCCGAGTTTCACACAGCTCTGCCACATTTCCTCTTCCTCGCCTTTTCTCTCCGCTAACAATCCCCCAATGCTGCAACATTTCTTTGTTGCTCCTTCCTTGGACCACTTTGGCTGCCCTTTTCTGACCCCTTTCTAGCTCTGCAATAATATATCCTGTTGGAGGTGAGGCAGCCAGAGCAGAACATGGCCAAGGGGGGGTGAATGCCTTTTCCATTCCATTCCTAATGATCTGCTGCAGACGAGGTTGATGTTTTCCCCAGGCTCTCTGCCGGGACCCCGAGGTCTCACTCCCGGTCCATCTCCTCCAGCTCCTCCATGAGCGTGGACATGAAATTGTTTTCCAGCTCCAACATGCATCACTTTAGAGTTGCCCACATGAGCTGCAATACCTCAAGAACCACCTCTTTCCATATGAACCTACCCGGACCCTGAGATCATGTTTGCCCTCCCTGTTTGCCACCACCTCGAGAAGTCCAGAGGGTGGCAACACGAGAACAGGGCCTTCTCTGCAGTAGCTCCCATCTGTGGAATGCTCTCTTCAGGGAAGTTTGCCTGGTGCCTTCATTTTACACCTTTAGGTGCCAGGCAAAAATGTTCCATTTTAACCAGGCCTTTGGTTGATCTGATTTACATCCTATGCCCTTAAAAAAAAATATTTGTGGGTGGGGTATTGGGTTGTTGTTTAAATTTTTATTAGGTGTTTTGTGGTTTTATATATTGATTTTATTCTGTGAACTGCCCTGAGACCCCCAGGTATAGGGCGATATATAGATTTTTTAATAATAATAATAATAATAATAATTATTATTTTGCTGCCCATTCACCCAGTTTGAAGAGGACCTTTTGGAGCTCTTTGCAATCTCTTTTTGTTTTAACAACCCTGAACGATTTAGCATCGTCAGCAAACTTGGCCCCCTCCCTGCTCATGTCTAACTCTGGGTCTTTTGTGAACAAGTTAAAAGCAGAGGCTTTAATACTGATCCTTGGGAGACTCCTCTTCCGATTTTCCTCCACTGGGAGGACCGTCCACTTCTTCCTCCTTTCTGTTTCCTGTTTCTTAACCGGATCTCTCCTCTTACTCCATGACTGCAAAGCTTAGTCAGGAATCTTTGGTGACATACATTGCAGAAAGCTGTTTGAAAGTGCCCCATGCCAACCAGATCACATTGGCATGCTTCTTGAAGCTCTCAAAGAACTCTGATGGGGGGCAGGCAGAGGGTCTGAATTGGCCTCCAAGGCGGTTCCTCCCAAGCCATGCTCACCAGCCCCACAGTTTCATTACAGTGCGATCCCAGGATGCCATGGCTGTCAAGTGGGCATCCCAGCCACCTGTGAGCTTGCCCACAGCTCTGGTGGAGATGGGGCTCTTGGCCTGCTGGACCCCAGACGCCCCCCCCCATCAGTGAGGCAGGATTATTTTGTCAATAAGGCCTAGAATGTTGTCTCTGGCCACCAGTTCCCTCCGTTCCTCAGACTCCATTCCTGCAGAACTTATTTTGGGCCCAGGGGTCCGTCTTCCATCTTCTGCTGCAAATGCAGATGTGAAGAATTAATCCGGTTTTTCCGCAATCTCCTTCTCTTTTTGCACGCCTTTGACCCCTTTGCCATCCAAGGGCCCAACTGCCCCTGGACACTCTCCGGATACTCATACAGTTATTTTTTTTTTTGTGGGTCTTTGTTTTCGGCATCCTTCTCTCCCCCCCATTTTTTGCACCCCTCAATGTGCTTGCATTTCTTTCCCCAAAGTGTACGTGCCCTTTTTTCATTTTCCACACTTGCATTGTTTGAAGGAAGGCTTCTTGGCCTCTCCCGGCGTCTTTGACTCCGCTGGTTAACCACGCTGGCATCCTCGGGGCCCTCCGGTTCCTCTCGGGACGGTCTCTGCATTTCATCTGCGCTTCTCACGGGGTGGTTTTGAGCGCCTCCCAAGCATTGCGGAGAGACTGGATCCCCTCGACTCTGCCTCTCGGATCCCTTTCTGAACCCAAACCCTCGTGGGGGTTCAGCTTCCTCTTCTGAAGTCCGACGTGGCTGCGCTGGGGGCTCTTCCCCACCTTCACGTGTATGGAAGGTGAGAGCCGGAGGCTCCCTGTTCCCACGCCTTCAGCAACAGTCCGGGGTTCCCGTTCCGACCCAACCCTGCCCGTTCTACGGCCAACCGTCCCGGGGTCCCGTCGGTTAGGGCCGATCATGGTCAGGTTCCCTCCGGGGGGCGACTGGAGCGCAGCGGCTCCCGGGCGGCTAGGTGAGCGCACGGGCAGCCTCCCCGCGCCCCGGGTCCCTCGAGGCGCAGGCGCCGCTTCCGCGGCGGGGATCCCCGTCCCGCCCCGGCGCCGGAGCAGCTCGTCGGGGGGCCGCCGCCCCGGCGCGTCCTGGCGGCTCCGGCTCCCCGTCCCTGCCGGCCTGCGTGCCTTCCAAGGCGCGGAGGCTCCCCGGTCGGCGGAGGCGGCCTCCTGGCTCGGCGCGGCCGTCCCGGCGAGGGCTCCGTCCTCCGCCTCCGCGGCGCTGGCCGGCCAGGGCGCATTCCTGAGGCCTGAGTCACGCCCGGCCCGCCTCCGTCGCCCGGCGGGCGGGCCGCCCTTCGCGCTCCAGGCCGGGCCGCGCCGACGCCGGCCCCCTTGCTGCATGGCCGCCCGGCCAGCGCCACTCGCTCCCCGGAGCCACGGTGAGCAGCCGCCGCGGGGATCGGGAGGGAGGCGGGCTCTCCGCGGGATCGCCCTGCGCGGGCGGGCGGGCGGGCGGGCGGCTCCGGCTTGGCCCGGGGGTCCCTCGGCCCGGAGCCCCCGAAGGAGGCGGCGTCGAGAGGGAGGCCTCCCGGGGACTCCCCGAGGCGGCGGGAAGCGGGCCAAGCCGGCTGGCGCGCCCCCCGAGGCCGATGCCCCCCCCGGACGCCGAGCCGGCTGCCCGCGGGCCAGTGCCCCTCTTGGGCCCGATCTCAAGCGGGCCAGGGTCTCCTTTAGCAAGGGGGTGGCAAGCCAGCGGGTCGGGAACACCCCCCTCCGTCTAGCCAGGGGGACCTTGGATATCCCGTTTGTTTGGGCACGTCCTGAACCCCCGCGCTGAAAGCGGGGGGCCGGGCAGGGTCCTCCCTCCCCAGCCTGCAGCTTCTGCATCCGCCGGGAGAGTTGGGAGACTTTTCCTGTAATGCGCCCCCCCCGCCCCACTCCCTGGCTGGTCTGCATCCTGAGCGTTTTTGCGCGGAGTTTCTCTCCTTCGCCCGCGTGTGGTGTTTGCAGCTGTGCAGCGCCGGCGTGACTCTCCCCTGTTCCCTCCGGAGTGAGTCCCATCTGGGTTTGGCTGGGCTTTTTGCTCCCCAGTTTTGGGGTGGGGGTGGGTGGGGTGGGGTGGGGGCTCTTGCTGAACCCTTTTCGCCCCTGCTGCGGCTTCCAAGCTCCATCCCACCTCCTTGCGCGCGCGCTCCTAACATTTCCCACTTGGGTGTCTGCGGGGATGTGATTTCCCCCAGTGAAGGTCTGCGCTTTGGCAGGTTGGCCTTAAAAGTATGATTTTGTCCTCAGCAGGATTTGCAGCCCCTCCTGCTTGGGGGGGGGTCCCCTTCAGATTCCGCTGTCCTCCAGGGCCTCATCCAGGCCACCCGTGTTCCTGGATTCCTGGACTGGAGGATCCCTTGGGGAATTCCTCCTCCCAGCCTGACCCTGAGCCCTTCCTCAGCCTTTCGGAGGTCTGGTTTTTCCAGACTGTCATGGGACCTGGCATCAAATGCCACATGCAAATCATAAGCTGCCCTATCTGAAACCTCAGAAGAAGCTCTTTCCTCCTCTGAACTCTGGGGCAGGTGCAGCTGGGTGGGCATTTCTGGGCAGCTTGGCCCTTGGAGTCAGGAGCGTTCCTCCCTCGTCCCCCTTCCACGCTTTCCTTCCTCCTTCCTTCTCCTCTGGGCCTTTGGCAAACGCAGGCCGTCTTCCCACAGGCGCTAGGGGTGCGGGGCACCCAGGCACCGGGCTCTCAGGGGCGCCAGGCCGAGAGTTGAGTCCGGGGAAGAGCTCGCCCGTTGATCAGAGCGCTGTGGAGGGCTCTTCTGCTGTGGGTGGCTCTGCGGCGTGAGTTCGGGGGCAACCGAGCCAGCAAGGCAGCCGGCCGACTCCGCCGTCCTGCGCACCTGGGACTGGGCAACTGGGGGGGGCACCGGGCAAATCTTTGCACCCTGGCGCTGCATATGCTTAAGACAGCCCTGGGCGAAGGACAGAGTCCCCTGGTGCCTCTCCTCCCATGTTCCAGGTCTCGAGGTGCAGAAGGGACTCCCTTGCCAGGCACTCTGAGCGACCTGGATTGGCACCGTGTGGCAAAGCCTGCTCTGGAGCAACCTGGCTGCCAGTTTGCGGCAGGTTGCGTCCTCAGCAGGGCCAAAGCACGGCAAGCGAGTCAGGCCTCTTCTGCGCAGCCCTGACCAAGTGCAGGATTTGGTCCAGGGCAGCCCAGCAGGTGGGGCAGAATTCTGCAAGGGATGACCAGTGTAAAGAGAATAGACAGAGGCTTTTTTGCAGGATGGGAAGAAGGAATTCTAAAGATGTGGCAGTTCTTTTTAACATATAATATAAAAGAGTACAAAATCCAAATATTGAGATTACTCTGAATCTCTTGACTCCCCCCCCCCCATCCCTTCCATGGGTCCTTTTAATTCTATTTTCAACTGCATATCAGTACTTCTTCCAATTTTTCATCTTCCTAAATTTTCTATATGTTCTGCTACTTTACAAGTGTATTTAAAATCCTGCTAATGTTCTGACCTGTTTGCAATGATTTTGTATATACATTGTAACCATTTCCCTTTCTTTTTTAAATTCCTTGTCTTCTTGATTCCTGAGTTTCCCATTTAATTTTAACATTTTGGCACAGTGCATCAACTTGATTTGCCATTCAAGATGTGGCAGTTCTCTCCCTGTCCCTGTTCAGACACAGTCTGCATCTGCATGCCAGCGGAAGGGGGCATTGCGCTCATGCCCCTCCTTCCCATGGGGCACCCGGTTGGGCACTGTGGGAAGCAGGATACTACTGGGTGAGGTGGACCCCCCCCTTGCTCCCAGCCAGAAATCAGGCTCCCCTTCTGCCTTGCTCTTTCTTCCAGACCCAAGTTTTGCCTCCTTTCCTATGAGCCACAAAAGAAAACTGGCCGCAGCGGTTCAGATTCTGGAATTGCGTGGCCGTTTCAGGTTCTGTCGGCGCACCTTTTGACTGTTTCTGCCCCCAGTGGAGCCTGGCCCCCAAGTGGATCTCTTCCAGGCCGGGGCCCTTGGGTGCTCGAGAGGCGGGAGAGAGTCTGGGCGCTTGGAAGTGAGAAAGGGGCCGGGACGCTTTTGCTCACACCCGCCACTTCCCCCCTTCTGGAATGGCTTCCGTGGGGCTGCCAGCGCTGGTGCTGTGATGACTGGGCCAGGCCTGGAGATGGGTGCCCCAGGTGGGCTGCATGCACCAGCAGAGCTGGGGGGGGGGTCCCCTTCGCTTCGCCCTTTGTGGCTGCGGCAGAACCAGCGGGGGATGCCTCCCTCCCGAGTCGGATGGCGTGGCAAGCAGGAAGCCTGCTCCTTCCTTCCTTCCTGTTGTTGTCCTTGTATTTGTGGTCTTCCTCTGGCAGGAAAGAGTCTAGATTCTCCAGCAGGGATGCAAAATGTCCCAGGCCAGCAGTCGGAGGCTGAAACACAGCGGGTATTTTTCTTGGGTGGGTTGCGCTTGAGGTTGCTGCGTGGGGTGAGTCCTGCCCCATCTCCTGGCGTGGTGGGTGAGCCGTGGCCTGGTGGCCCTGGTGGCCTGGTGCCCCCTGCTGCCCCCTGGGCTGCGTGGCGAGGTGGGGGGGATGACCTTTCCCTGTCCCCCCAACTGTGACCTCAGCTGACTCTGCCGCGGTTCCCTTTCTGCAGCGGTTCTGGCATCGGGGGGGGGGGCTCTGTGGGCCTGGGGCCTGCTGGGGTCACCTGCGTCCCAAGGGGTCTTACAGTGCCTTCTGAGGGGAGGCAGTGGGATGGGGGCCAGGATGAGGCCTGGCTTGACACACACACACCCCACCAGCACCTGCTAGAAATGTTGCTTTGTGTGTGTATTCTTGGTGGTGGAGGCAAGTTTGGGGACTGGGGGGTGTAGTGGTCTCGGCTGTGCTTTGCCTTCCCTCTGCATCTGCACCAGAGGCCCTGCTGGACTTGCGGGGGGGGGGGGCAGGCTGGTTGTGCCATCTCCCTGCGTGGGAGGCGGGGGCAGCTGCCTCCCTCTTCCCTGCCCATGAGAATGGCGCCTTTGTGAGCAGAGAGATGCCCACTGGAAAATCTGCGTCGCCCTTTGTGTCAGGGCTTTGTGGTCATGGCGGAGCTGCCGCCTAGGGAGGAGGGGAGAGGGGGCTGACGGGGGGGGCGGGCGGTGAAGGGTGCTTGGCTGCCCCTTGCAGGCTCAGGTGTGCACAGGTGGGTCCCTGGCCACCTGCATCTCTGTGTGTTGATCAACTGGAGGGGGGAAGACAGGTAGAATTTGCAGCCTCTCAGGCCAGGAAGGGGGAAAGATTTGGGGTCTGGTGAATGTCTGGTGCGGTTCTTGTGACGCTCTGGCCATCCTGGGGTGTCCCCGGAGAAGAACTCAGAAAGGCCTGTGGGAAAGATCTGAGCCCTAAACTGGCTTTTCTGGTTCCTGGAGGGAGGCGAGAGCTGAGCTGCCGGTTCTTAGGAATGTCCTCCTCTCTCTCTTTCTCTCTCTCTGGCTCTTCCCGCCCAGGGTTTGTGGGCATCTGCTCTGAGAGGAAGATGGAGGTGACTTCCCTTAAAGGTCATGGAATCATAGAGGTGGAAGGGTCCCAAAGGTCATCCACTCCAACCCCGGCAATTTAGGACTCACAGCTAAAGCATCCCTGGCAGATGCCCCCCCCCGACCTCTCCCTAAAAGCCCCTTCCCCTGTCAAGCTGCTCTCACCACCAGAAAGGCCTTCCTAATGTTTTGTGGGAATCTCCTTTCTTGTTTCCTTATATTTTATTGAGAGTATTACAAGGAGTTAAATTGGCAGCGGGGGGGGGGGGAATGAAAAGGTTACATGCATTAAAAATCAATAGAAGCAGAGGAAAAGAGCAATAACAAAAGAGCAATGGAATATAATTAAGCCTACAGAGCTATATATGCAAATGGATCTACTTATTCTTTCCCTTGAAGATACATTGATTCGTTTGTTACTGTGGTTTCGATCAATACTTTCCAAAGATCTTTACATTTGTCCATGCATGATCTTTGTCTGAAAGCGATCCGCTCAGGGGTTGCAGAGATTATATTTTTGTGCTTCCAACTGTTATGGAAATTACGGGGGGGGGCACATCTTTAAAGTTGTTAAATGTTGCAAATATTATGCCTGAATGTACCCTTTCAACTTGACAGCTCAGGGAAGTTACCTAGCTTTAAAAATAATATAAAATCTTGTAACACAATGTATCAGCCTTAATCCTTTTGCAGATGTTAAGGGGGGGGTCAGAGCCTGCAGCCACCATGTTTCCAGTGGGGAGGGGGCAGAGGAAAGACAGGAAGCTTTCCCCTGCAGAGTTAGACCCCTTGGCTGCGTGGCCCTCGGGCCCCTTCGAACTCCTGGGCGTTTTGCTGGTGGGGGGCTGCGTGATGTCAGAAGAGGAAGCTTGCAGGCCTGGTTGTCTGTTGGGGGCAGCAGGAAGAGGCGGAGGGCAGGATGTGCAGCCCCTGCCTGGCTTTCCTGTGGGACCAAGGAAGCGGCTGGGGGGGGGGACTTGGCTGCTGGCCTTTGTTGCGGAGGCGGCAGTGTGGGAACGCCAGTCCCAAGGGCAGCCTCTGGGGTCTGGGTGCTGCTGCCTGTCTCCTGCCATGGACTTGGCGGGCGGGGGGCTGTGCTATTGGGCTGGCAGAGGCTAACGGGGGGCTGCCTCTCCCAGCCAAAGCTGACCCACAAAATTGCAACCCAGTGTGTGTGTGTTTGTGTGGGGAACCTTGCAAGTCGAAAGGTAGGGGCTCAGCACCAGCCTGCGCAGGGTAAGCCCCGATGGGGCTCCTGGGCTCCTTCTGTTGTATGAAAATTGGAGGTTGGCTTTTACAGCTCAGCTCCCCAAGGGGCTCAAAGCCTCCCAAGTCCATTATCAGTTGGAGACAAATGAGTGGAAGCTGGAAGAAAGGGGGAATCTTTATTTTTCTGTTGAAACAGAGCCCTCCTTTCCCACTGCCATTTGCAAGGAGGCGAGGACCCCAAACAAAGGTGTGCAGCAGCTCTGAAAGACTTTTCTGGCTCAACATCAGGAAGAGCTTTCTGACAATAAGAGCTGTTCAGGCCGTGGAACTGTCT